AGAAAGAAGAAAGAAATAATACTAACAAGAGTAAAAATAAATAAAAAGATAATAAAAATAATAATACGTTAAAATATAGTCACAACAAGGACATTAAACAGCACTCAGAACAGTGAGGTAACCAAGGGAGGGAGACAGCTACACTTCACAAAAAGATAAAACTGAAACTGACAAATTCTGACAGTCGGGTTACTGTAGATGTAAAGTTCCATGAAGAGTCAAACAGGTGGGAGATTTACCAAGTCATGCAAATCTGCCCCGGATTTCATCCTTAATAATGATTTACGATACTCAGCTTACTATCGAGTTCCTATTTGTAAACCATTTCAACAAGTATTTTCCCCCAGTAGGGCTTGCAGAAGGATGCCGATTTGGCTTAATTCTAGATCTTTCCATTTTGCTTCATACCCCTCTTCACACCAGTGAACCGCAAATTGCAGTTGTGCTGCTTTGTAATAATTTTCCAAACATGGGAGAGACATTCCTCCTTTGTCCCTTGGTAGTTGTAGCATTTTATAGCGTACCCTTGGTTTCTTATTTCGCTATTTAAACCTGGAGATAATCCGGTTCCACTCATTAAACTGCTTGGTAAGAATTTCTATTGATAAAGATTGAAATAGGTACAGCAGTTGAGGTAAAATGATCATTTTTATGATTTCTATTCGACTCTACAACTCGAGCGTTAGTGGGGTCCATCTGTCCAAGTTATTTTTTATTTTATTAGTCATAAAACCATAATTTACTTTGTATATTTTGTTTAAATTTTTGGTAATATTAACACCTAAATATTTCATGATTTTTGTTTTCCAGTTAAATTTGAACCGATTACTTATATCCTCTTGGGGTGAGTAATTAAAGCAGAGGGTCTGAGTTTTTCCAATATTTAATTTATAACCTGAATAAAGTCCAAATCGGTGGAGGCAGGACATGAGGTGAGGTAGACTGGCATCTAGGTCAGATAAGGACACGAGAACATCATCGGCGTATAGACATGTTTTGTATTCTCTTCCCTTAAATATGATTCCCTTAATTTCAGGGTCTTCCCTAATTTTTTGAGCAAGTGGCTCTATAAAGAGTGCAAAGAGAATTGGGCTCAGAGGGCATCCTTGTCGGCATCCCCGTTCCAGTGGGAATGTGCCTGAAAGGCCGCCATTTAATTTGATCCTTGCTACTGGCGAACTGTATATTGATTTTAAGCAACTTGTGATTGCGTTGTTAAAGCCAAACCGCTGTAGAACCAGATATAAATATTCCCATCTTACAGAATCAAAGGCTTTTTCAGYGTCAAAACTAATTGCTAAAGATTTTAAATTATTTCTGCTCATAATGTCGAACAAGTGTAACGTTTGCCTCACATTATCCTGTGTACATCTATTTTTAACAAATCCTGTCTGGTCTGTGTCAATCAATTCTGGGATAATACTTTCTAGTCTACTGACAATTATTGAAGTGAATATTTTATAATCAATGTTCAAGACAGAAATGGGCCGGTATGAGCTACATTCACTTTTGTCCTTTCCTGGTTTTGGTATAACGGATATTATCGCCCGTTTCCAGGATGGTGGAATCTCACCTCCTTTAAGGACATGCTTAAAACATTTTAACAGCAACGGTGTTATAGGTCTCCTAAAAGTTTTGTAACATTCAGCTAGTAAGCCGTCACCACTGGGTGACTTACTTGTTTTTAATTTTGAGATAGCTTTATCGACCTCTGCTGGTGCTATTTTTGCAGATATCCACTTATTTTGCTCCACGCCAATTGAGGGGAGATCCAATGGGCCTCATGCAAGAACATGTTTGTATTCTTATCCTAAATTTCTCTTATTTTTGTTCGTACAAAGGGTTCGTACGAACATGTCACGTCAGATTCAACAAACTCTTCTATCTTCAGGAAAAGTGTGTAAATGAGCTGCGTAAACTGATGAATGCCACCTGTTCGTATCCAGGTGCTCATGTATGAGGAGAGGAGATTAGCATAATTACCACCACAAAAAAGCACCCTATATATATA